AGGTTGGCAGAACATGAATGAGAGCAGGATACAGGGGGTGGGGGCGGGGAAAGAGACTGAGTCCGGGGGATCACCTGAGTCATCCAGGACTCATCCACTCAGGTGGAAGAGCCAACCAGAAGGACTGACCCCCTGACGATGCCAAGGGGGTCATCCCCCTGCCTCCCTCCTGAGTTATGGCCAGGATTGTGGGCGATGATGGCCGTGAACACTCAGTAGAGTCGTTGACTGTGCAAATCAGATAGGAGGAGGAGGTAGCCTTATCAAAGCCAAGGCCTAACCTCAGAAAGATCTGCCTGCCTAAGGGACAGCGAGGTGGTGCATTTACAAGCTCAGGACCTGGAGTCAGGCAGCGCTGGGATCCACTGTTTCTGAGCTGGGTGATGTTGGACAAGGCTCCCGTTCCCTGGGACGTAGTTTCCTCACCTACGAAATGAGGAGAATGCCAGTATCCATCTCACAGGGTTGCTGTGAGTATTAAATGAGATAAAGCAAGCACAGTTAAGCTCACTGCCAGGCACTGGGCAGGCACTCAGCAAATAGAAGCTATTTTTGCCTTTATTACACACCACGATAGGCAGTGAGCTTCCCAGTCCCTGAGGTATGTAAGGGCAAGGAGGACCTGGAGAAGCTGAGGCCAAGCCCCAAAGGAGGGATTGTGTCTCAGCAGGAACAGAGGAAGAGACAAGGCAGAAAAGAGTATATGTACAATTTCAGAAGTCTCATCCAAGTTGGGGAAAGAGAGCCAAGCCTTGGGCCCCAGAGGAGACATCAGAAGACAGGGGCGATGGGGGGCCACAAGACACAAGCAGCCCCCACCATCAGGGCTGTTCTCAGGCTTCTCCAGCCCACAGGGTCCGAGCTGCTGCCAGGGGCCTCTTGGCAGGTCTCACCTAAGCCAGGGTCCCCATGGAGAGGTCTCAGCCCCTGCCCTTCCCTAAGGTGGCACACAAGCCCTCCTCTAGCCATTGTTCCCAGTTAGGAAGCAGCTGTGTCAAACTAGCACCCTTCCCAACCATGTCACCATCTTCCTGGGGGCCAGCAGCCCTGAGTTCCACACCCTGCTCTGTGAAGGGGGCCCCTCTGTGCCTCAGTGTCCCCATCTGGACCCCAGGAGCTGGATCACTCAGCTGCCATGTTCTAAGCCCTGGGAGGGGAGCACCACGTCAGGGGGTCAGCCCAGTCCTCCTGGGCAACGCTGTGAGGTCTTCCTGCCTCACTCCTCAGTGTGCTGGGGCACTCCAGGGAACCCCCTCAGACCCCACAGATAGACTCCAACAGACTCCAAAAGGAAAGACCCAGGTGAAGGGGAGGGGACCACACGGTAGCCAAAACACAGGGCCATGCAACGGGGGTATGTACTGGCGTGGAGGAGAAACTGACCGTCTCAGTATGTACTGGCATGGAGGAGAAACTGACCGTCTCAGCAGAAAACATGTGCCAAGTCCCCAGGCCCAGGCAGGGCCTGGCATGTGGCTGGGCCCCTGGAAAAACTCAGGTGAAGACATGAAGGAAAGAATCTAAACCCCCCCAAGTATGCGTTTGGTCAGTCCAAGAGGTCTCCCAACACATGAGGCTACAGGGCACGATGAGCCCCACTGGACAGATGGGAAAACTGAGGCCCTAGGATATCCCCACAACCAGCTCGTGGCTAAGCTGGCACTACAGCCCTTGTCTCCCACTAACTGCAGCCCTGTACCCCAAAAAGGGCTCTGTGCCCCAGCGTACCTCAACAAGTCAGCCTCCCAGATTGACTGGGGGCACGACGAGGGCTGGGAGCACGTGCAATTCATCTCCATTTGCCCCGGAGCCCAGGCTGGAGCCCAGCACATAGGTGGTGCTCAAGACGTATTTGCCAGCTGAATGAATGGGCCAGAACTTTATCCAGGGTGAGAGGAAAACCTGCATTTCCCCCAGCAGCCCTGGGGGACAGACAGGTCAGACAGACGAAGCTTTTCTTGACCTTGGTGGGGGTAGGTGGGAAGGCACCCTGGCTGATGACACTCTTCTGGGGACAGGTCCGCTCAAATCCATCGGCCAAGTAGACTCTGGGTCACAAGGCACAATGTGAAATGGCCAGATGACCCTCGCCATCCGAAGGTCACTGCTTCCACCCTGCCTCTGGCCATCGTCAACAGCAGGTCTTACTCTGCCCATTCTTCAGATGGGGAAATCGGGGCCTGGAGAAAGGAAGAGACTTGCTTAGCGGCCCCCTTTGGTCAAACCTGGGGGGCTGCAGATGCTGTCCCCGACTGGCAGCCCTGGCAGGGACAAAGTCCTGCTCTCAAGTCTCCTCTGCAGGGGCAGCGGGGGCAGCAGGCCGGGAGCTTCCTCAGAGGTGGCAGCCTGGTCACAACACTTTCCCTGGCAGGCGTCCCCACCACCAGCCAACTCTTCCCTGTACTTTCCTGTTTCTGAACAAACACACCCCCAAGCTCTCGGTCAATGTCCTTCCTTGCTAGTGGCAGAAGCCAGAATGGGTGTGGAGCAGAGGCCTGATCCGGGGCTGGGGTGCTGGGTACCACCTCTTCCCCTGCGGTCTGATGTCACCACCGTGGGACCAAGTCCCCATGCAGATGAGACTGAGGCCTGAGGTCAAAGGGGACTGGCTCAAGGCCACGGGTGGCTCCCGCAGCATGAGTTACCCCCTGGGCAGGGGCACTGCCCTCAGAAAGAGGGGTGGCCCTGGGGATTTAGTGGAGGGAAGTCAGTGGCTGCTCTAGCTGCCCCCTTCCCTCCAGCCTCCACCTCTCACCCTGACAGGCAGCTCCCACCAGCACGATTCCCCATCACTCCAGGCCCTTTATCAGGCCTAAACTACTGTTCCTTGCTATTTCCCCCTGTCCCCAACCCACTCCCCTCCGCTACCCCAGGATGAACTCTGTCCACAACACTCAAGACATTTTCCTTCTCCCTGTCTTTGCACAGGCTGTCCCAAAGAGTAAGGACAACAAAAGCTCACACTCAACTGTGGCCCGAGTCTCAGGCAGCACAGGCTTCCAGCTTTCCATGCCTTCGCTCTCTTTCCTTAATCAACCTGCCGTCACTACCCCACTACCAGACAAGGCCACTGAGGCTTGGAGAGGTAACCAGCCAAAGGATAGTTCTGTGCAGAGCTGGGATTTGAACCCAGATCTGACTCAACCACTCCCTCTGCCAAGGGCAATCCTGTCCACCTTGTGAGACCCAGTCCAAATGTCACCTCCTCTGTGAAGCTCTCCCTGATTTCCCCAGATGTAACTTCTGTTCAGCAGTCTTCTCCCCACTCCCTCAGCCTGTGAGCTCCTTCAAGGCTGGGACACAAGGCAGGGGCTCCTGTACAGGCGGGGCCTGGGAGCTGGGGCTCAGGTGATGGCCAGACACATGGCTTGTCTCCTGTCCAGTCAGCTGAGAAGGAGAGGGACTTCCAGTCCTCTGTGGGCCTCTGCAGTCAGGGATGGAAGCGGGCTGAGGTGAAGAGCAGAGGGAAAGGTCATGCAGGGTGCTGAGCGGGGGTGGGGTGGGCCAGGAGGGGGACTGGCGCTGGCCTGAGCATTATTGAGCATTTGCAGAGTTCCCGTTTCTCACAGCAAGAACCCGTTCCCTCCTCGTGTAATCCTGCACGTCCTGCTCGCCCCCTTTACAGCTCAAGAAACTGAGACTTAGAAAAGGGAAGTGATTTGCCCAAAGTCACAGCACTTGAGACCAGATCTCTGGTCTCCTAGGCAAAGCCTGGAGGGAGGGAGGAGCCAGAGGCCACTTCAAGGAAGGCAAAGGGAGGTAGACCACAAGCCTGGAGAGACCCTTGAGGACTGAACTCCCGGCACGCACCCGTGCACATTCCCAGCCTCAGCTTGAACCTTTCCACACACGGGGAACTCACTACTTCAGGAACTCACTACTTCCTGAGGAAGCCCTGTACATTGTTGCTCAGCCCTGATTGTGGGAAAAGTCTTCCCCATTCTGGGGGGAAGCAAGTGAAGTTTATGCTTCATTTACCCTCACCCTGATAAGAAAAACGGAGCTTCAGGAGCAACACCCCAGGGTCCAGGCCACACAACCAGCGCCAGGAGGGGTGGGGATTTGACCCCAGGTCTGCCAGATTCCAAGCTCAGATTTGCTCAAATACCTCTCGGATCGGGGCTCCGCCTTCCCGATTCCAAGATAACCCGATGGTGTAAACTCAGCCCAGGGCCCTGAGCGGTGCAACCAAACCCCCTCCTCTCTCGCGCCCATGGGCGCTCCGGCCTCCCCAGGGCCCCTTGGAAGGCCTCCTCCTCCCAGGGGGCCTCCCTCCCACCCTCCCACCCAGCCCTGGAAGGAAGTCCCCAGCCGCACCCGGCCCAGAAGGCAGCCCCCGGGGATCACACGCGTTTCCAGCTGAGAATCCTTTTACTGGAAAAAGAAAATGCTGCCCGCACCTCCCCCTCCTCCCTGTCCTGCCTCCTTACGTGAGAGAAACTCTTCTCAAAGGAGGTGGCACCCACCCACTCAGAGGGGTCTCCGACAGATCGGCTCTTTTGCAGCCAAGGACCCCTGGGACGGGGGCCCCTGAAGTCCACCCACCTGTCCCTCCACCCAAGAAGGGGGAAGCCTGAGAAGTCCCTGAGGAGAGAAGTGTGTACCGGGTGGCCAGGGCAGTGAAGGGAAGGTGAAGAAAAGCCCAGATCCACTCAGGATTACTTTACTGCCAGGCTGCTGATAAACTGAGGCACGGGGGAGCAGGAGGTACAATCTGAGCGGCGGAGGAAAGAGAATCCCGAATCGCAATTTCCCCTTCCTCTGCCCATGATGGCATAAGGGGATAGGGAGAGCCTCAGTTTCCCCAGGAGGGTGGGGATGAGGGAGGAGCTGAGGGAATGGGGATAAAGTAGACGTAGTAATGAACAACCAGAAGGGGCGGACCAGGGGGTCCCGGGCAAATAGGCAGCAGGAGGATCCAGGGTCCCTGGCAGCCCTGGGCATCAGGTGGTGAGGTGGCGGTAGGGATGGTCGGGGGTCAGGGGTCGGGTGGCGCCTACCCCTGGCGGGCCGGGTCCGGCTGCGGGAGCGGCTCCTCTGTCGCTGCAGCCGGGGTCGCCGCAGCAGCCGGTAGTAGTAGGAGGGCCTCCCGGTGCTCTTCCTGGCGCTGCCGCCCGCGGACATGCTGCCGCCCGCCGGGCACCGGGCCGGGCCTGGGCGCGCTCACACGGGCCC